CCCCTGCCCCCCCTTTTCCCGCTTCCCCCCCCTCCGGTAACGCCTTCCCGGTCCCCTCGGTTGGCGCTTTGGCCACGCCCCCCTTTCCCCATAAGCCACGCCCCCTTTTCCTGGCCACGCCCCCTCCTCTCCAGCTCTCCCCTCGTCTCTTCTCCCCGCTCTCTCATTGGCTAGCCCGGCTAACCAATAGGAAAGCGGCGAGCCGGGCGGAAGGGGCGGGGCTTGGAAACCGGAAGCGGCGGGGAAGCACCCGGGGAGGGCAGAGGGGCGCTCCCCGCCTCCGCCGGTCGTTATCCCTTTTTCCCCGGTGCTTTTTATCTTCCCCCTCCCGCCGTTATGTTCCTCACGCGCTCCGAGTACGACCGGTGAGTGCCTTCCCGCCTTTCCCGTCCGCTTCCCGCCGCTTTCCCCGCCGCCCGAGGCCTGCGGCTGAGTCACGGGCCTGCTCCCGGTGGCCGCCATCCCCCTCCCGCTAGGCCCCGCACGGCTCCTCCGGTTTGGAGCCGCCGTGGGGGACTCTCTGAGGAGTCGGTGAGGAGGCCGAAACCCTGCTGAGCCCTGCCCAAAGGCCTCTGCTCGTCCCCCCGCCACCGGGTCCGTAGGGGTTCCCGTTTAGCGGTGCATCCTTACCCCTCCCTGCGGCAGATTTCCCCTTTATTTATATTTTCTTTAGCTTTTGGAGGGCTCCATTTTGTTAAATACACGGAAAGGGAGGGCTTGTCCCAGTGCTGAAAGCCCCCCTCTCTCCCTGGTGCGGGGGGAGGCTGCGTGGAGCATCCCAAAAAGGTGTATTTTTATTTTGATAAATGGCTTCTGAACCCAGGCAGCTTTTTAGAAACCACCTGGAGAGGGTTGTGTGTGGATGGAATCCCTGTTTTTCTGGGGATCCCTGTTTTTCTGGGGATCCCCAGGCTTCTCGTGGGGAGGGCAGGGTCACCCTCTGCTTGGTTGTGGGGGTGGGAGGAAGGAGCAGGGGAGGTCGGGCTGGGTTGGTGTGGGGGGGTCCCAGGCTGGGTGGGTGTGGGGGTTGGGTGGGGGTCTCCCACCCGTGTCTGAGCTGTTAAAACAACATCCTTCTGTCTCCTGGTGCCGGGTGTTCGGAGCCCTGAGTCCTTCCAGCCTCCTCTGTGCCAAGTGTGTCGTGGAAACAACCCTCCTCCCCACCTCTGGCTGGACCCGCTGCTGTTTTTCTTCTCTTTCTCCCTGATTCCAGGCACCTGCAGTGAGGGGGGTGGTCTCCAGCGAAGCCCTGACACCTCCCAGCTCCCTCCACCACCATCGCTCTTGAATAAGGAGCTGTTTTTCTCCTTCAGCCTCCAGTTTCCTGGCCCTTCACGCCGTTTCTGATGTTGTTCTTGCAGGGGTGTCAACACTTTCTCTCCGGAGGGGAGGCTGTTCCAAGTGGAGTATGCCATTGAGGCCATCAAGGTAGGGTCAGCTCTGCCTGGTGGCCAATCTCTGACATTTAGGCTTCCTTCAAACCCCTAAAAAATAGAAGTAAAACGGGCAGATTTGCTTCCTTCGGGCTCTGGTCTCTCTCTGCAGCGAGGGAGGCTCCCAGGGTGGTTGTGGAGCAGGAGCTGCTGCCTTTCCCCATGGCCGTGGCTCCTGTGGCTGCTCTGGCAGCTCTTTGCCAGCCTTTCACCTACGGTTTGTCGTAGGAGGCACGTGTCCTGGTGCTCAGTTCCTTCCATCCAGCCAAACCTCCTGCAGCTCTGCTCTTTTATGGGTCCTGAAGAATCATAAAGCCACCCATTGCCCCCCCAGATAAAATCACAGAATGGTTTGGGTGGGAATCCCTTGAAGATCATCTCGTTCCCCCCACCCGG